CTTTGCTTGTAGTGATTTTTAAATTTCTTCCATTTGTTCCATTAAATAAAAGTGTAGATAGGTTTTCTAATGTAACCTGTCTTAGAATTTCTGACATAATATCTTCTTGGTCCTGTCACACTGATTTTCCATCTGCTACTGGGTGGTATTTACCAATAGTTTACTGTAAGGTCTTTATCATATGTGTCTATGAGCAACTTTGAGCCCTGATTTTGATTTCTTATTTTGTATTTGGTTTTGACGGAATGAATACACCAGCATCCAGAAGAGATTGGGAGTTGTGTGTGTCTGCTTTTCATGATGGCACTGCAAAGCCTCAAGGGAAACTTCTAGGTCTGTTTCAGCTTGCAGTTTGGATGTTACAGTTCTGGGCCAGGAAGCCCCTAGTCTGATGTGTCCTGGAGGCTTCTCAGCGTGGGTGGGGGGGAATGATCCCATGGTGTTCTAGGAAGCAGGGGAACAGCTAGATGGGACCTAACTCAGCCATTGCTCGAGAACACCTTCGAGGGCTTGTCCAGAGTGAGCTAAGGGCTTCCCACTGTCCCCACCTTTCAGCCACCACAGTTAGATCAGGTCTCCACTCTTTCTTTTCTGTTGGGTTTTTTTTGGTTTTTTTTTTTTTTTTTTAGATTTATTTATTTGAACTTGAAAGTCAATTACAGAAAAAGAGAAAGATTTTCCATCAACTAATTGTCTCATTCAACATGACACAACAAGAAATGCTGCCCTGGTCTGAGACCAAAGCCAAGTACCAGAAACTTCTTCATGGTCTCCCACGTGGGAGATTCTGCCTGCATCCTGTATCAGAATGCCTGGATTTTAAGTCCGTGATCCACTCCCAGGTCCAGCTTCTTGCTAATGAACACGCAGGGAGATAATGCTGATGACTCAAGTAGCTGGATCCCCACCAGCCTCTTGGGAGAGACCCAGATGGAATTCCTGGCACTTGGCCTTAACCTGGCCCACCACTTGGTTGTTGCAGATATTTGGAGGGTGAATCAGTGTATGGGAAAACTCTCCCTGTCTCTGTCTCTGTTTCTCTCTCTCTGCCTTTCAAAAAAATTGAGATAGGGTCCCGTTTTTCAGAATCTGCTTTTTGCTTCCTGGCCTAATGCAAGCACATGGCTTAGGCTCTGCTGTTTGAAAAGCCACATAGTGTGATGATCAAAGAGGGTGGTTGGAGGTGGGAGCGTTGGGAGTCAGGAAGCTGGAGAGAAGGTGGCCTGAATTCCAGTTCTGTCACTGTATGAATCAACTGGGGTAAGCCTGGCTTCACACCTGTAGAACACTGGTGACGGTAATGGTTCTCATTTCATGGAAGGGCCAAGAGAAGAGACAGTGTAGCACCATGGAAGGCACACTTAAAAGAGTGTGCTGTATCAATCAAGCACTCACAGTATTTCTAAATGTGTTGCAACAAATTGGAACCTTAGCATGCTGTACCTTTTCAGTCCTGAGTGTCCATTTAAAAAAAATTCAGGTTTTAAACAGCCCAGAAAAGGCCATGGAAAGCTACACACAGGCATACAATTGGCATGGGTCGGGGGAAGACCAGGCTGAATCTGTCCACGTCATCCATTGGCAAATCAGGCACCAGTGTGGGTCTACCCAGGTTCGGTCGCAACAAAGACTAGTGCACAATACAGAATGTCAGGGTGAGGTTGCCTGTACTGGAAGGGACCACAGTGCCCAACCAGCCTGAGAACAAGAAAGGAAGTGGGCAGAGCCGGCAAGGGGAATAAAGGAGGGTTCCTTTGCTGGACAGCTACTTCCGCAGGAGAGCATAGGCTGGGATGGGGGCAGACCAGACTAGGCAGAGCTACCACACCTGTGCGCCTCATGTGGACTAGATCAGGGAAAAGCCGGGCTGGGCTGATTATTCCTACTGGTGCAAACAAAATTAAAGTGGGCGAGGGTTGTTTGGGCTTAGCTGCAGCATCAGCTGGCAGAAGCTTCAGCTGGAATCTGGGAGTGGGAGAGGCCTGGGAGGGAAATAGTGGGCTCATCCCTCTTGGGTTACCACTTCCACAGGAGGACATAAAACTAAGATAGTGGCTGGGGTGGAATGGGGTGTGGGACAGACTGGATTACTGCTACACATACTGGCAAACCAGGGTAGGGGGTGGGCCTGGTGGGGGTTATTGTGGGTCGCTCCAACTAGGCTGCAGCTCCCACTGGTTTATGTGAGGGTCAAGTATGTGCTGGGCAGAACCAGGCTGGACTGCAACACCAATTGGTTCCAGTGGAAGTTGGGAGTGAAAACAGAACCAACCCAGCAATTGCAACCACCAGCTGATCTGGGCGATGGACTGTGCCAGGCCCTGTACTTGCTAGCACATCCAAGAAGTTTCTTTGGAGATCTTCCTAATCTACATGCTGGACTCAGAACCCAAACGAAGAAAAGAGAAGACAGAACAGGTCAACCAACCATCTCAGCTAGGATGGACTATGTTAATCAGTGGATTTTTCAAAGACCTCATAGTGCTTGGAGTGGCAAGATTGACAGCGATTCATAACTGTTGCACTATCAAAACCACTTGAGCAAGAACCTCAGAGCATGCCCTACATCCAGGACCTGGGGAGGGTGGGAAATTTGGTGGGCCTTCTCCCTTAATATCCCCCTTTAAACATGAAGGTAACAATATGGAAAATATACTAGTATTATCCACTTTCCTGTAGCCCTTGAACCTTCTTACCCTAATTAACTATGTAAAGATTGTCAAAAAAAAAATTTCAGGTTTTTGTCTTTGATTTAAGTTTGGCTTAGCTACATTCCTTCTCTACTCAGGTTTTCAGAGTGTTTGTCATCAAGGATGTTGAACCTTACTATGAGCCTGTTGAGATGATTTGTTTGTCCTTCCCTCTGTTAATGTGATGGGTCATATTTATAGATTTGTGTGGTTAAACCACATGTACATTCCTGGAATAAAGACCACCTGATCCCAATAAATGACCCTGTTGGTGTGCTACTGTATTTGGTTTGCTAGTATTTTATTGGGGATTTTTGTAATCACGTTCTTAGGGAATTTGGCCCAGTAATTTCATTTTCTTAAATTGTTGTTTTCTGGAGTTGGTATCAGGGCAGTGCTGATTTGGAGGTGTTCTCATCAATTGTTTGGAACAGTTCGAGAAGGATTTGTATTATCCTCCTGATTGTTTTGTAGCATTCAGCCATGTTGCCATCTAGCCCTGCACTTCTAGTTGATAGTAGATTCTTTTTTGTTAGTAATTCAGTTTCCTTACTTACTACCCATCTCTTCAGATTTTCTGTTTCTTCTTGATTCAGTTTTGGTATGTTTCCAGGAATTTCTCTATTTCCTCTAGGTTACTAAATTTGTTGGTATGTAACTATTCATCATAGATTCTTAGGGTAATCTGTGTATCAGTGGTATCAATTGTGATGTTTTCTTTTCACTTTTTGATTGGGTTGTCTGTCTCCTGATTAGTCCAGCTAAAGGCTTCTCAGTTATGCTTTTATTTTCCAAGAATCAACTCTGACTTTTGTTGAGCTTTTTTCCTATCGTCTCATTTATTTTTCTGTAGTTTAATTCCCTTCCTCCTGCTGACTTCAGGGTTGGTTTTTCTTTTTCTGGTTCCTTGAGTTGTAAGTTGGATTGTTCACTGAGTTTCTCTCTTTTTGTTCAATCCCAGTGTCTATAGCTAAAATCTCTTCTCTTAGGATTGCTTTTTTTTTTACCAAAGTTTTGGTATGTTATATTTCTATATCCATTGGTGTCAAAAACTTTAAAAGTCTTCCATTTTTGTTTTTTCTTTCACTTGCTGTTTGTTCAGTAATATGTTAACTTTCATGTGTTTGTGAATTTTTTCAGTTTTCCTCTCATTACTGATTTCTAGTTCATATCATTATGGTTAGAAAAGATACTTGGTATAATTTCGGTCTTTCTATTTGTTGAGACTTGTTTTGTGGTCTTGGTGATCTATTTTCTTTCAACACACACGCCCAGGCTCTCTTTGGGAACCATTTACATAGACTGTGATTTTTCTTTCTTTCATTTTCAGTTGTGTGTCTGTGAAGTCAGCATGAGTGTCTTGTAGGGAGCAAGCAATTAGATCATGTTGGACTTACTATACTTTTTTCTGCCTTTTGATTGGAGAATTTGATCTATTTGCATTCAAAGTAATTATTGATAAGTAAAAATTTACTGTTGCCATTTTGTCAATTACTGTCTTACTCTTGCATAGTTTCTTTGTTTCTGTATTTTTTCTTGTTAAGTTCATTTATAATTTAATGCTATTTGGTAAAGATAATACTTTTTTCGCATTTCGTGCATATACTGATTTTTTTTGTAGTTATCACAAGGCTTGAAAAATATCTAGAGTTGTATGTAATTGAAATTCAGTTATTATCAACTAAAATAGAAGAGCACCAATTTGTGTTAACACAAAACAAAACCAGTTGTCTCGGGAGATATGGTTGCCATTCTTGTTACACTCTCAGCTTACAATTGTTATTATTACACCATGTGCTATCACTCATAACTAAGTTTTTGAGGTAGAATGGCATTTCTCACTTAATTGAGTGGTTTGATGACTGTGATCAGAAATAGGGCATTTTGCTTTTGTCTTTTTGTGATCTGTTTTCTCTTAATTGCTCATTAAGATATATTTTCAAGGACAGATCCTGTTTTTCTTTCATTATTTTATACTCCTGTCTAAATGCCCTTCTTATTCCATCTTGATTTTATAGGAGTTAAGGTTTTTCAATTGAAATACATTCTACATATGCTTAGGTGGGAAGTACCTATAATCGCTGTGATGCAGGATGGGCTGGGCAGTCCGCAGTTACTTCTTCTGTGACCTGTGCGCTTCCTCCCATTTCATCTCTATTGCTTTAGCTCCGTTCATTCTGGCATCTACCTAGGATGCTTGCTTTAAATGTGCTGGTGCGTGGTGGCCTTTCCTTCCCGAGTGTGACCTTAGGACCTCCCACGGGCCCTGTAATCCTAATGACCATTTTCATGGGGTGTGCTTTCCCACAGAGATGTCCACAGAAGACGAAGAAGAAAAGCTCATCTATGAGGCAGTGTTAAATCATTTCAAGAGCTGCAGAGTGGAGATCTCACATGCAATAACGCACACATTTCCTTTCCTTCATGGCCTCCGTGACCGTGGACTCATCACGGATAGAATGTTTCAGGTAAGTGAAGTCCACTGTGTCACAACCTGGTGTACTAGCAGCCACTTAATTTATGCTCTGATATTCCAGATTCAATTTCAAGTTACAACCAGTGACAGACAGGTGTTTCTGTAAGTGCTCCTGTATCACTCATGCCCTGCTTCTCCCAGATGCAATGGTGTTATGTGACGCCCTCTGGAGGTGGGCGGATGCACTGGTGATAAGCCAGAGTTGACACAATTGCACTCTTAGATGGGTGCTGTCTTGTATATGTCATACCATATAGTTCAAACAATCATTCATTGTAACATAAACTAAATGTTATAAATAATTTTAGTGGATTAATGGTTTTACTGGTTTACTGAAACAGTTACTGGCACAGCACTTTATTTCAATTAATGTTGATTCAAAATATCTAAGTCCAAAAGCCTTAAAACTCATTGGGATGAATTTAGAAGTAGAGGCTTGCTTGGTTTTTCTTTCATTTGTGTGTGTGTGTGTGTGTGTGTGTGTGTGTGTGGCACTTGTGTAGTCTTAAGAGTTTGAGTAGGGCCCAGCATGATAGTGCAGTGGCTAAATCCTCACCTTGCATGGGCCGGGATCCCATACTGGGCACCAGTTTGTGTCCTGGCTGCTCCACCTCCCATCCAGCTCCCTGCTTGTGGCCTGGGGAAGCAGTGGAGGACGGCCCAAAGCCTTGGAACCCGGTACACGTGTGGGAGACCTGGAAGAAGCTCCTGACTTTTGGATTTGGATTGGCTTAACTCTGGTCATGGTGGCCACTTGGGAAGTGAACCAGCAAGTGGAAGATCGTTCTCTCTCTGTGTGTCTCTATCTCTGCACCAAAAATTGCCTTTTCAATAATAATAAGTAAATCTTAAAAAAAAAAAAAAAAAAGAATGAAACTGACTTCTGGAGCTTGTTGTAGCTTAATATTCTGTGTTTTTGTATTTTATATTTTTTAAGGATGCTGAAGAATCTTGTTTCAAAAAGGTGCCTGTTGAATATGTGGTGTACAATCTTCTGGGGACACTGGAGAAGTTTGACGAGACTGTTTTCGAGGCAGTGTTCAGCGAGGTCAACCTGCAGGAATACCCCAAATTAGTTCCTGTTCGTAAAAGCTTTGAAATTGGTAATTATGTTAATTGTCTACCTTTAGGAGTTTAGGGTAAAATATTTTCAGCAAGCATGTACTGAGTTTCTAACACAAACCACAGACTGTGCTGGACAGTGGAGATAAAGTACTTGTCAAGACAGACGCGGCATGAACCTTCTTGGAGCTTCTGGCATGATAGCAGGGGTACAGCCGCCACTCAGAGATCTGCTGAGCCAGGCGTTTAGAATAACAAGATGACCAGCATGACACGGGCACCACGGTTACTTAGGAGGACACAGGACAAGTCACAGAAAATCCCAATGAGCAGAACCAGTGGCTTCTGTTCCACTGGAGCCCTTGTGCTGGTCTACACTGCAGCCCACCCCATTGACTGCAGCCTGATTTGAGCGATAGACAATCTAACTGTGGGTGCGGGACCCAGCTTGGCTTGGTACTCTGTGCTCATGGGGTCGGTCTCTTGTAAAAACCTCCCCAGCCAGTTTCAGGGACACCCAATGGGGGCAGGGCCAATTGTAAGAGTCACCACACTGAAGGGAGATCTCCTCACCCCTTACTCTGCTTTCTAAACAATAAAAGAATCTTTTTTAAAAAGAGGTACCAGAGAAAAAACCCACATGATTCTCTTTTATTGAATATGTTGCTATCTGCTTTCCCTCTCTCAGCACTCTTTAGGTAACACAGCCCACAGTGCTTCCACTTCTGTTTTCTCCAGCCTTGCTTGTCTTTTTCTGTCTGGAAAACATAAAACCTCCCTTGCTGACATGCCGTCTCCCATGGACTGATGGGGAACGTTCAGTTCTGTGGGATGCACTGATCCGGAAACTGGAAAATCATAAGCAGGTGGTTTTGTGACTTCCATGGTTCCTGCGAAGATCTCTAACCGCCTTCTCATCTCTGTCTTCAGAAGTCAACCGCAAGCTTCAATTCCAGAACAATGTCAGAGGCCACATAGAGGAGAATTCCAGGATTCAGCTGCCCCTGGAACAAGGTAACAAGCATTTCTCACTTGTAGAGGGAACGGAGCCAGCTGGGTTCTGGACAGAGAGGATAAGCCAGGGATGGAACGTGGGAGGACACGGAGAAGGTCAGGGACACGAGGGAGGACATTGAGAAGGCAGCCGAGGTCAAAGTGGAGGAAGCCAGACTTGCACAGCTGAAACACCTGGAAACAGTAGTGCTAGAGAACCTTCCAGACAGGAGAGCTAGGGGTGGAGCCCTGAAGGGCTCAGAAGCATGGCCCGTGGCCAGCGTTAAAGAGGAGCCCAGATGAAAAGTTTCCACTATCTGGTCTTTGTCCTCTAACACACAGCATCTGAATATGTTAAACTGGTAACACGTGTGACTCCATATCCTTGATAACTATCTGTGTGTGCAGGTGCCAGGAACAGGGAGGGATGAATGGAGGAGGAGAAAGGGTTCAAGGCTGCAGGGTGTGGGCAGGGCTCCCTGAGGGATCCCCAGGCACGTCGGGAGTGGAGAGCAAAGGGAGACAAGGAGAACCCTGCAGCTCACAGCCCACTGACACAGAATAAAACGGATGATTTGATGTACCGAGCATATATAGCTCTTCATATACTTTTTGTGGTAAGAACACTTAAAATCCGTTTTCAGTAATTTTTAAGAAAACGAGATGCTGTTGTGAAGCACAGATGAGCTCTGTGATGGTCCTCTTGTACCTGGCTTGTTTCCCTCAGTGTTGTGTCCTCCGGGTCATGTGGGTTGATTCAGGTGATAGGAGCTTCTTCCTTTTGAGGCTGAGTCGTATTCCTTTGTGTAGATGTCATCTTTGCGCATTCCTCTGTCGCCGGGCACTTGGGCTGACTTCACGCCTCGACTTCTGTGTCTAATACTGCTCTGAACGGGGGAGTGCAGGCACCTCCGTGACATATTGACTGCATATACTTGGGATAAATATCCAGGAGTGTGACTGCTCTGTCTTACGTAGTTGATGTGTGATTTTCAAGGAATCTCCATTTTGTTTTCCATGATGGCTGTACTATTTATAACCCAGCCAGCAGTAGCACCGGGGTTCCCGTTTTTAGACATCACCACCGGCATCTGTCCTCTCATGTCTTTCTGCTAAACACCAAAGCAGCCAGCGTGAAGTGACATCTTCTCATGATTTTACGTTATGTTTCCCGGGTGGTTAGTGGTGCTGTGCATTTCCCATTTACACGTTGGTCACTTGTATAGGTCCTTTTGTGCAGGACTTTTTTGATAATAAAATACCCATTATTAATTTATTATTGAGTTGCTTAAGTTAGTTCCATCATTTGGGTCTCAGTCATTTAGCAGATAGATTTGCACATGTCTTCTGCCATAGTGTAGGTTGTCTCTTACCTGTGGGTTATTTTCTTGACTCTACAGAGCTTTTTGGCTTTAGATAATCTTTGTTGTTGATTTTTGCTTGTATTGATCATATTTTGTGTGTCACATTGAAAATCATTGCCAAGACCCATGATATGTAGCTCTTCCCCATGTTTTCTTCTACAGTTTTAGGTCTTAGATTGAAGCCTTTAATTCATTCTTGGTGGATTTTTTCAGGTGATTTTGATGAAGGTCTAATGTCACTCTCTGGTCTCGTGTTATCCAGTTGTCCCAGTGCTGCTTATTGACAAATGGTCCTTTCCCCATTGTGTGTTCTTGGCACTTTTTCTGAA